TTAACTTCAAAAATCCTTTACTAAGCATACAAAATTTTCAAAGGATCTTCAGAGCAGGATATGGCATGGTAATGTATACTTGGAAAGCATTTATTGTCCCTGGTGTTTGTTGTTAGAGTCATTGAACAGGCATGTGTCTCTTCAGATCTGGGTACCCCCTATGGGGCTGGGAACAGAGGAAGGACTGGGCATGGTGCACTCTATGGTGAAGGAGGGAGCAGTGGGGAATAATCAGGATGCCTGGAGGTCACTCCTGGCAATACTTGGTCAATGTGAGCCACATGGTTAAATACTTGGGCTACTGATGCTGGACAGGGTCCAGCAGAGCTTCAGATCTGAAGACCGGAGTCCACAAGGCCACACCCAATGATGTGGTGGTGGTGGTGGTGGGTGATGTAATACTGTCAATTGAACTCAGAACCTCATGCACACAAGGCTCCAGTTCTAGTTCATGCTCCAGTTCTTTAAGCTAGCTCCCTGGCGCTCTCCCCTCATCTTAAAGGGAATAACAAATTTGTATTCTAAATGAAGAGACTAATGCTGAGCCCCTGAGGTGGGCACCTTTTGGTGAATGACACCTTTGCAATGAGGCTAAGGAAAAAGAGTCATTTTCTCTATTAAGTAGGCATTGGGAATCTCTGAAAGGTGGAATACACTTGCGTATCAGTGGGTCATGCCAACACAAATGCAATAAACTCTCACAACAAATCTAGGGAGTGGATATCATTATTATTTACAGTAAGGCTAATCGAAGTCTGTGAATCCAAACCTGGACACTGATTTCAGGGCCTGCTCTTAATTTCTACACAAGCTGCCTCGCTGGGTTTATGCTCTAATTATAACTATGCCGGTATTTTCCTGGATAATCAAAGGAGTGAGTTGAAATACCTTTTTCTACTTTTCTGTTACTTCTTCTTCTTCCTTTTTTTTTTTTTTTTTGGTGGTACTGAGAATCAACCAATCAAACTCAGGGTGTCATGAATAAGCTTTACCACCAAGCCACAATCCTGGCACTAATGTGCTGCCTTTCCCCCTTTTAATCTCTAGACAGTCAGACTAAGAAACCACTATTAATTTACATCTTTTTAGATTTGTTAAGAGTCCTTATCTTGTCTTTAGAAGAGAAAGGGAGAGGCAGAGGTCAATTCAGGTGCCATGTACAACATTTTAAAAAATGAATTCACCCTTCCCTCCATTGGCTAGACATTAGCCCCCTAGGGGCTAATATCTAGGGGCTGGTGTTAGATCTCTGACTCAGATAGACGTCTTTGCAAATACTAAAAAAGTATATTCTTTGCAGCTTGAGAAAAAAAACCCAACTTGGAGTCCAGTGTCTCTTGTCTCTGGCTGTGAAGGGAAAGCCTCACAGCATTGCACACTGTCAAAAAAATGAACATGAGAGAAAAAGAATAAAACCAGAAAAAAAAAAAACCAGAAAACAGGCAACAACTCACTGTGGCTACCCGCACATGGCAGGCTCCTGTTGCATTTTTGCAAAAGACAGTGGCTCGAGGACATCCTCAGTGGCCAAAGCAGACAGATCCCTGGGACCAAGGGCTGTCCCCACCTCCTATGCAGAATTGTCTCTACCTGTTTTAGCACCCCAAGGAGCCGTAGAAGCCAGTTATCTCCCATCTTTCCATTTATAAGGGAGGCTGAGCACATTTAGATTGGGAGGTTTTTCTACCCATTTCTGAATAAAGACTCTGAGGTATACTTGTAACTTTTCTCCACTTTTCTGATTCCCCTCAGCTCAGAACATAGTCCTGGTTCCCTTCCTGCTTCTCCAGGATCTTTAGGGATGCCAGTCAACTTAGGACAATTGTACATTTCAAATCACCTTGAACTTCCCCAGACATTGTTTTTCATTCACTGAACTCACACTAAGAGGGACATTTCTGTAAACTGGAAAAGCCAAACCATTTTGTAATATTACTCCTTTCACGACAGAACAGTGTATCCTGGGCCAGCTCTGTTCCAAGAGCTTTATCAACAGAACTCAGTTAACCCTGGAAACAACCCTACCTGGTAGGAACGTTCTAGGAACATGTTTCTGCTCCCCCAAAGCAAAGATGTTGCTACGGATTAGTGAGAGGCTCTGGTCCTGACAACCTGTAAGCACTATTGGGGAACATGACTGGGTTCCAACACCCTGTTTCTGTCTCATAGATGCCTGAACCATTTCAGTTTGAAGGAAAAAATCCCAGCTCAGTCACTTGGGTTACACTCAGTTCTGAAAGCCCCGAAGAGCTGGGGCTCCGAGGCGAAGCACTTTGCACTGCTCTGTGCTACTCCAGAAGACTATCTTTAATACTCTCACTTGCCAACTGCTGTCGACCTGTCTCTTCTCAGCAATCAGAGTGCCTGGAAGCAGTGCCAGCGCCACACACCCACGCCACAGCCCACCTAGTTATTTCTAACCCGCATGGTAATGGCATTCTTCACTTTTCACAAAGGCATGATGAATATCAATTAGCTTCATTTCTTTCCAACTTGGGGCTCCCTCTTTTAAAAAACTGGAAATTGTGGCAGATCCTAGGGGAACTTCCTGACTGGGAAGGTGATGGACTTTAGTTTAATGTTTGCTGCTCACTGCACTAGGTCACCAAAGATGCTGCCGATTTCTTGCAGGTGTTTAAGTTCTGGGCCAGTCCCAGGCAATGCTGGCTGGATAATGGAGGCGGTTGGGGAGAATCTCTGTTAATTAATACACACACATGTACAATGGATTGAACCTTGCCTTTGCCTAAGAACATGTCCAGAAACCTTTCAAATTGACACTCATGAGGTCTCTGAAGCAAGCAAGTTTACTTCTTTCCATATGTTACCCCCACACTCTCAAACCCAGCAGGCATCTTCACATGGCTAAGAAATCGTATTTCTTTGCTCTTGCAAAGAGCTCAGTGTGGAAGCTGAACCCAAGCACCTGAACACACGCTTGAATGGAAGGCTCAGTGCCTTTGTTAGAGGAAGTGGGCATCAGCCCTGCCCAGCTGCTGCCTGGGACCATTAACCTCACGCTGACTTGGGGAAGGTGAAAGTGGGAGAAATGGAGCCCTGAACGATGGACCAGTGCACCCAGAGTCCTTCCTATCTGTCTTTTGAAAAACCACTTTTGAGCTAATCACTTAATCTTTCTGTCTCAGTTTTCTCAGGCACAAAACAGAATCATTCCACCTGCCCTCCCTTTATCTGCAAGACTGGATTATATGACGCTGACCATTGGCGGCATTACAAATTGCTCCCTAGTCCCAATGAGCCACGAAAAGATTCTCTTGATTCTCTGTAGCTGCAGTCCCATTCATGGAAACGTCTGCACTGATCCTGTCCCATTTGACCACGATGCAAGGTCACCAGGCACTGCAGGGACCGAAGGACCTTGTGTCTGGAACTAGAAAATCGTGATCAGAAAACAGAACTCTCAGGCTGGTGGAGCTGAGGAAATCCCCCATATTACCACTGACCCCTGTTTGGGGGTCAATGCCCCATATCTTGCAGCGAAAGCAATATCTGAGCCTCCCTGTGGGGCACTGCCAGACCTGAGCTAGGCGTGCTCACTCCACTCTAGGCCACTGATTCCTGAAGAAGAGAAGCCTTTAGCCCCTAACCACCTTTTCTCTTGGAGAGTGCTGGCCCAAGGGCTGATATTCTCGCCCCAAGATATAATAAGCAAAGGCACCTTCAGTCTCAGGAGGTTTTTTTTTTTTTCCTTCAGCACCTATCCTAAAAATTAGCCTCCAAACTTCACGACCTTTAAGACTCCAAAACACAAGCTGAGAGAGAGGGAACAAGGGCTGTGGCTCATGTTAAGTGGCCATAGGTCACATCCACCTGCCTTTTTGATAGGAAACTGTGGTAAGCACCCCGATTTTCTTTATTCCCTTCCCCACAGCAAAGGCTTTGGATTTGCTGGACTTGTTATTGCGGCTTTAAATGAACACTGTCTCTTCAGTGGGAGACAGTCGTCACACTTTCCAGTGGGAGAAATGGAAACAGTCGGCAGCCAAACCACTCTGTGCAGGCTTTGCTGTTTTTCAGCAAAGGAGCTTTGCCTCAGTGGTTCGAGACAAAACATCACCACCCACCCCAGGCTCCAAATCTGTGATAAAACCCCAGATGGGGAACCATTGAGGTTCCTCTCACAGCTGAGCCCCCTTAGGTGAGCAAATGCCTCCACGCTGCTGTATCCCCAAACATGGGCTCTGAGCTACCGAAGAAAGTCAAAGAGACCGAGGAGACCCCACCGGAAACCCACTTCACATCTCAGGGGGGAAGCCCAACTTCCGAGAGTCCCACAACAGATCAAGTTGTACAGATGCTTCTTCCCCTCCCTCCAAATAAAGCCCTTCCCCCCACCCCCAAATAAAGCCTCCTTAAAACCCACATTACTTTGAAGTGGTTCCAAATACAGGTGTGGGGGAGAGCAGCTGGACAGTTGCCTGGGGCCAGACACCTGCCAAGCCCCCAGGAGAGACATGTTCCTGGGCAATGGCGCCAATCAAAAGTACCATGTTATTCTTGGATCTACTGACATCTCGAAGAAATCACCAGCTTCCTAATAGCCCCAGGGGCCAAAATGGAGAAATGCACAGAGGCAAAATATGACCAAAGTTCCCAGGAGAGAGTTACTAGGATTTAAAAAAAAAATTGTTGTTGTATTTTCTGGGCAATGGGGGCAGTCTGCGAGTAAGTAGTACAAGGAATTAAGAAGTGAAGAAGGCGGTCTCTTTCCTAGCCCACACTCCCTCCTAATGGGAGTGAATTCTTGCTACAAGAAGAGGCTGAGCTCCTTAAGATGGTCTGGGGTACGCTCGGGTGTTTGCAAAGGTGCGGTCAGCATGCAAACGCTCCAGACATGATCCTGATATTTAAGAAATGTTCAATGCTGGCAGCAGCCAACAAACTATTAACTCTTGAAAGACAGAAAGCTGGGGTGCACCGAATGGCACTCCTATTCTGCCTTTCCCACCGGCCCCCTCTGTGAGGTGGGGTAGCGTTACCTGACCAGGTCGAGGAAAGAATCCACCGTCTCTTTGGGGACCGGAGGCGGCCCCGAGTCGTCCAGTCCCAGGTCGCTAGACTGAAGGGTCTGCGCGCCAGACCCAGGCTTGATGATGAATGCCAAAGCCACGGCCAGCGCCGAGGCGCCCAGCGTGGTGAGGCCGAAGTAGGCGACGGCGATACCGCCCAGGCGCCCCAGGGAGCTGGCATCCAGGGAGGCGGCGCCCGACACGAGGCTGCAGACCACCAGCGGCAGGATGATCATGCGCAGCATGCGGAGCAGCATCTCGCCAGGAAAGGCCAGGTAGGTGATCTGTGTGCGGCTCAGGTGGAGCCCGCGCAGCGCTGCGCCCAGGCCAGCGCCCGCCACCACCCCAGACACCGTGAACAGCACCAGCGCGTTGCGCCGCAGAAAGTCGGTGCAGCGCCGCGTGCGACCCACCGCGGTCCGGGGCATCGTGGACGGCGCTGCTGCTGCTGCAGGCCCCGGTGCAGGCCCCGGTGCAGGCCCCGCCTGGACGCTGTCTAGGTATCCGTTGGTCTCGCTGCTCTTCTCCATAGTGCTGTAGAGCTGCAACTCCCGAGTTACAGGAGGCGAGCGACTTGGGCCCTGATTTAAAACAAAAAACAAAATCGGTTCTGAAAATGAATGGAGCGGGAACAGCTGCGAGGTCCGCCTGCTGCGCTCTGCCGCAGCCCGCTGCCTGGCCCGCGGGGGGCTTCCTCTTTCAGTGCAGCAGCAGGTGCGAGAAGAGCAAAAGAAAAGGTGCGGACCTTGCGGGCTGGTGTCTCGCGCGGAGTGGATCGCGCCGCGCCCAGTCTTCCCGCAGCTCTCGCGGGCCGGAGGATGATGCAACGCGTGAGCGGCTAGGGAGGCCAGGATGGGTAGGAGGAACCGCGAGGGGAGCGGCTCGGTCCCGCCCCCTTCACACCCGTTGCCCCGCCCCCCGCCGATCCGCCCAATCAGCGCTCAGCAGTCGTCGCCGCCGCGCCTCTCATGTCCCCGCCCCCGGCCGCGGGAGCTAGGGGGAGGGGCCGCCGCGTAGGGCCGCGGCGAGTTGGCCAATCCCGGCGCCCGCAGCCGCCTCCCGGTCCTGTTAAAGGGGGCCGGCTCCCGGCACCCGCGGGGAGGCGTGGCCTGACGGACAGCCCAGGCTCGTTGGCACCTGCCAGGGCCGCGCCGGCTGGCGGGGGGTCTGAGCCCTCGCGGCGGCGGGCCGAGGACCCGGGAGAATGTGGAACGCTGCGGCGTTCCTGGTCCTGGGGACTGGGAGGGGTAGGGGGGTGGGAGGGGGCTCTTCCAGGGTTGGGGGGTCTTGGAAACTGGGGGAGGGAGGGTTAGTGGGCCACAGAGCTCGCTGGTGTCCTGCCAGAGGGCGACACGCAGCCAGGGGCGCGCGAGAGTGGTGGTGGTGGGGGCGGTATCCACCCGCTGCCTGCATCCTCCTCCAGCTTCAAATCCTCCTCCCCCCGGGGAGCCTTGCCGGGACCCCGTGTGACAAAGCGACCAGAGTGCCCAGGACAGGCCGTGGCTCTGACAGAGGATGAAGGAGTGCATGGATGAAACGGTGGAATGAGAAAAACATTATCACTCGCGCATTCATTGCTCTGACAAAACTTCATCGCTAAGACTAACACCAAACTGTTTCCTGCCGTGCAGGAAGGAGCATCAGGACGCTTGGGGTGTGGCGCGCAGGCTGCCCTGGGTCACCTAGCGAACTGCCCATTGCAGTCGCAGTCTTCCCTAAAGTTAGCTCTCAACCACCACTTCTGTTTTCTGCTACACAGCTTTAACTGAAATACATGTCACTGACTCTTAACCTCTTCCATTCCCACAAACTGGAAACAGTACGGAGAGTAATATAGCCAGATGTTTTTTAAATGTCACATCCCATTCATTTCCTTTCCGTTCATTTCCATTCATTTCGAGTTTTATTTAACATTTGTCCGGAGGATGCAGATATAAGGAAACTTGTTGTATCCTTTTACTTGGTCACAGTTACTAGATTCTTATATTTTCTCATTAAAGTTTGAAAAGAAACCTTTTGAAGTCTTCAGTGAAAAACTAAGACTAGAGCTTCCATATGACCAGAGATTCGACCACTTAGCCTCTACTCCCTCCCTCCAAAAAAAAACATTAATTCAAAAAGATAAATGCACACCTATGTTCATTGCAGTACTTAGTTCATTAGCCAGGATATGGAAACAGCCCAAATGTCCAATGATGAATGAATGGATAAAGAAGCTATGGTACATATACACAGTGGAATACTATGGCAGCTATAAGAAAAGACAAAATCATACTGCTTGCTGCAACTTTGATGTAACTGGAGGTCATCATGCTAAGTAAAGTGAAGAGTGTGGGGAAAGAGAGCAAATACTATCTCACTCAATTGTGGTATATAGAGAAACAAAACAAGGTGATAGACCCTATCAAATGATAATAAACACTTGATCTTAGATTATAGAACCAAGAATACCAAGCAAGGGGGTAGTGGTGGAGGGATATGATGTGGGGTGGAAGTAGTATATGGACATTGATGGAGAGTCTTTCACCCTTTTTGGGGGGGGCACAGATATAGGAACTGTGTACATAAATATCACAAAAACACTAATACTATTATAAACATGTCACCTAAACTATAAAAATTATATATATATATATATATATTTAAGGGCTGGGGCGATAGCACAGTGGTAGGGCGTTTGCCTTGCAAGCAGCCAACATGGCTGACCCGAGTTCGATTCCTCCACCCCCCTTGGAGAGCCCGGCAAGTTACCGAGAGTATCTTGCCCACACGGCAAGACCTGGCAAGCTACCCATGACTTATTCAATATGCCAAAACACAGTAACAACAAAGTCTCACAATGGAGATGTTACTGGGCCCGCTCAAGAAAATTGATGGTCAACGGGAGGACAGTGACAGTGACATATATATGTAAAACTTCTGTGTCACTGGTGCTGGGAGATGTACACTGGTGGAGTCATGGGTGCTGGAATATTGTGTGACTGGAATCTAATCATAAATAGCTTTGTAAGGGTCTATCTCACAGTGATTCAATTAAAAAAATTAAAAAATAAAAAATTTCTGTGAAAGGGAAGTCTTCTCATATATGGCTAATCAGGATTAAAGAGAAAGGGAATTTGTTAGAGATCTCCTGCTAAAGGGGAGTCATTTTATATCATGTCATGACAGATGTTTGTGCAACTCAAAATGCCTTCACGAGGAACTTTGAGGAGCTGTCCAAATTTGACAGAGGGTTTTATTGCTTAAAAAGAGCCACTGTCTGGATCTGGTAGGGTTTGGACATCAGGATTGGAGAGGGGGCTGGGGGAAGAGGGCAGTAGTTAGGTAAAGAGCTGAGGTCACAACCAAGTATTTTTATCTGATTTTAGACAAAAGTTTGTTTTTCTGTGTGCACTGAAAAGAAATTTCTAAAGACATCCTATTTTGCCAATCAATTTAGTCTTTGTTTTGACTACTTCGTTTATGAAAAAGCTTTCAAAGCATGCTTCAGAAATGAACTTCTAATTACCCATTTTAATTCTCTACTAGATATTCTGCAGGCATCCCGATCCCGCATGTCCAAAGCCAGACTCAGGTTTGCTCATTATCAAACTATTATTTCTGTTACTAACATCACTGACTTCTTAGTGTCTTGGGCTAGAAAATTTAAGATGATCTTTTATTCTTCCCTCTCTAGTGTCTTCTTTCATATGATCAAGTTGCCAGAGACACTCCTTGTACAATATTTATCATATCTACCCTTCCCTTCCATTCCTACTGCTGCTACTGTACTGGCTCAGTTCTTATTTCCTCCCTTCTTATCTCGATTATCTAAATGTTCTCCCAATTAATCTTCTCACCTCCCATGCTCTTTGTGTTCCAGCCATTCAGCATTTTGCCTTGCTCTGGGACAACATTCCTAATAAATCATAAGCATGTTAGAATTAGGTTCAAGTTCAATCAGCAGTAAAGAGAAGCAATCACTCTTTTAAAATACACTTTCTAGGGACCAGAGAGATAATACAGCTGGTAGGCACTTTGCCTTTCACTCAGTTACCCGGGTTCAATCACCAGCACCCCATGTGGCCACCCCAAGCTGCACCAGCAGCAATCCCTGTATGTAGAGCCAGGAGCAAGTCCTGAGAACCACATGGTGTGGTCTAAAAACAAACAAACAAAACCACTTTCTAGAAGTTGCACCCGCTAATTTTTTTCTATTTCACTAGCCTTAGTTTAGTCATATGATATCACCTGTTTTACACAGGTAAAATCAAGGCTTCTATACTGGTGATTGGTGTGGTGTTGGAATTATGTGCAAGAGAAACCATTATTAACAATATTGCAAACTATAGAATATCAATAAATAAAAATAGTAATAAAATAAAAACAAAGGTTTCTAGGGTCCTGTAGGATAGCTCAGTGGCTAAAGGCACCTGATTAGTGAGTTGAAGGCCATGAGTTCAATTGTTGGTGCCCTCTGTGGTCCCAGCAGCTCTGCTATCTGGGATCCTCAGTGCCACAACAAAGTGTGTGATCTTCACTATATGGGAGTCATGTGTGTGAGCCACGGCTAAGATATGTGACCCAGGAAGTACTGCGACTAAGTGTGCGAGCACCAGCTGAAACTAGATGTGTGATACCTGGTATTCACAACAAAAGAAAGAGAAGAGGGGTGATTTTTTATTTTAATGGAGGCTTCTGGGGTCAGAGTGATAGTACAGGGATTAAGGTGCATGCTTTGTATGTATCCAATCCTGAATCAAGTTCTGGCACAACATGGTCCCCTGAGCATAATCAGGTATAACCCTGGAGTTCCCTGGCCTATCACCTGGGTGGCCCCAGTAATCCCTGACAGTTAAGGTCTGAGCAGCACCATATCCTCTGATCCTTGTATTGGACCCCCCCCCCACCCCATCAATTGATCAAGAATTGCCTGCAGGGAATCCTGGGCCTCTTGAGCTTGCCCATTCCAAAATTGAAGCTTTCATTTCTAAAGAAGCAGGATATTGGGATATTGGAGGAAAATGCCTTCAAATTACTTTCTTGTTCAGAAACTTTTGGGGGCTACCAGTGAATGAAGACTGCATGCTTCATGTCATTTTTCAAGACAGGTTCTGCTTTGCCTCAGCTCTCACTCCTGCTAATGTGTTCTTTGCTTGCGCCAACCGTGGGCTGGGTGGTCCTTCCATGCTTTTCTGCCTCTTCATTCATCCAGTTCAGAGAACATTTCTCTCCCAGTGCATTCTCACTCTTCCTTGCTCCAACTCAACTCAAGGTCTCTAACCTTCTGTTATTGTTCCCAAGCACCTCAGAGCTATGCTAATAGATGCCCCTCAGGCAGGAATGGGGAACTGCATCATAGGCACTTCCATGAGATACTGAGTGGGGAGGGGAGTATCTGGGGGTGTCTTTTGTTTTGCAAAATTATCTGCCATTGAACTAGCAAAATTTCTTCTGAAGAAGCATTGGTCTCTTGGAAGATTTTAGTTTTATAAAGTTATTATTGTGTTTGGGGGCCCCATGAAGACAGGACTTATTCCTGGCTCTTCTCTCAGGCATTATTTCTGGGGGACTGGAGAGCAGGTGCATATGGGGTACTAGGGTTGTTGTATGCAAGATAAGCGCTTTTACTCACTGTATTATCATGCCATTAGTTTATTTGTCTACTTTTACAAATTTCTCAGAACCCTAAGTATGCATATTCTCATAATGAAATTCCCCAAATATATTATGAGTATTTGTCAAATGAATTTTGGCACAGTATTATATATATATATATGTATATATAATTGTAGTTTAGATAACACGTTTACAATAGTATTAACACTTAGAGTTTTATACAAAGTTATTGCACTTCACCAATGTCAGAGCC